ATTGCTGCATGTCCTAGTATTATAGAGACTAAGAGGCTTTTAGTTTCAAACGCACAGTCCCTCTACATCTTGTAATTTCTTATTGAAATTCTTTATTTCTTCTGAAATAGGCAGTGGATATATCAAGATGGACTGCAGCATTAGGATTTAAAATGATGGTAGGTAATTAGTGATTAATATCACAAGAATAACATTCTTCAATGTCTTACTCTGTTGCGGAAGAGTTTATAAAATCTTTTGGCACTTTCATGAATTAATAAATAGGATTTAGACAGCTTTGAAGAGCAGGCTTTTAAAGGCATATTTCAAAAGTCAAAAAAAAAGCCTATTTCTTTTTTTACTTTTGGCTTTCTTTTTTCTAAGTTCTTAAGCTCAATAAGATATTTCTATCACTTGTCAATGCCAGTACCACAGGATGAAGAGTAAATGCAGCGTCTCACTACTTTTACACTAGCCTTTTGATTCTGTATTGCTTTTAAGTATGGTTAGAGTTTCCTTTAACCAAGTACACTTTGGGAAACAGTCAGGATTGGAATACAGGCGGAGTATCAGTTGGAGGGCGGTGGCAGATGGTTGTGGCCGAGGAGCCGGCCCGTGTGAGCCGCAGGAACCTGCTCGCGCTCCCAGAGCGAGAAACAGGGAGTACTTGCCTGCTTTGCTTTTTATTTAAAAATATATCCTGCACTAAGGCAGGAGAAAAACCTGAAAAATGTTGATCTTGATTTTGAGGTGCGCTACCTATCTGAGTTAATTATAACATATTGCTGCAGCAGCATGAGCAAGTTATTGTACCACTTCAAATGTACAAAACCCATCCTTTTATTCCTGGGTTGATCACATTTACCTGTGAAGGTGAATTGAATCAGCTCATAGCAGTGGATGAGAGGAGCTCGAGATGGTAGAAGACATGATGGAAACCCTTTTGCTTTGGGAGCAGGAAGCTCCTGCAAGGGTTCACCTCATCGGTGACTCACCTTGAGCACAGCTTGGACTCCAGATCTTCATCCTTATAGATGGGTATTCCTGTGTTTCAGTTGGTGATGAGAAAGAAGAGAGGAAAGCCTAAACTTTTCATTGCTAGTTCTTGATGGAATGATTTATTTTGAATTCTCTTTTGCAGAGTGTTGGAATGGGAAAATGCTCTCAAATCACAACACCTTACTCTGTTAAGAGCTTACTCTTTTAAGAGAAAGCAGGGGGAAAGTCTGGGGTCTTTTAAGTAAATTCTGTTGTCAAAAGGAATGTAACCTTCACTACCCATTGAAGTAGAAGCTCAAAGACATGTCACTGGTATAAAAGATGTTGGCAATATTGTGAGGAAGCGTAATTCATTCCCATCTGAAAGATGTCAGTTATATGGAAGTCGAGTAGATCTCCTACCCACAAAACTTTCATGTAATGAAAGAGTGCTGCAGCTAAGAAGGGCATCTCTTCAAGCCCTCCTATCCCTTCAGGGGAGAAAGGAGAATGTTTCTTTATCTGAAGGTTGAAAGAGAGGCTCATTGCTCCAGATTTTCCGAGAGAAAGCAAGCTGATTTCCAGAGGCAGAAGGTTGGCACCATGACAGGAAGCCAGTGCTCAGATGCGGTCGTGCTTAGTCTTTAAATTGCTTCAATTTGTCTGTGCTCCCGAGCGCCGTGTGGGCTGGTGGCACGATCGTTTTGAGGCCTGGCAGCCGCGGTAACTGGGAAGGTGCCCTTGTGATCCGTGTGGGAATGGTGTGAGAAATGGGTGGGCTGACATGCAAGCAGCATTCAAGATTTCTTTAGGCCTACTCCAAAGATTAACTAGAGAACATACTAAAGAAGTGTGGACCTGGAAGTTCATGCTAATAAGATGGAGGCTAAATCTCAGATCCTTAGTGCGGATAACACATGGCTATTAGATAATCTCTAGGGAGTGTTCAGGGAGAATGAGTTTCAGACATCACCGATCTGAAGGTAGTTATTTGCAACAAAAATACGTTCACTTGGGCATGGAACCATCTGATGAGAGGGCAGCAAATTTAATGAGTTTTTAATTCAGCAAGAGGGAGCCAATTATGGCATCGGTAGACCTTTTAGTCTGAACAGAAGCGTTCAAGATGTTAGAAAAGATTTTAAGGGGGAAAGGTAGGTAAATATGATGATAATGCAGCAGGAGTTATTGTCTTGCTAAAGATGGAGTGTGTCCAGTGATCTCAATGCTTTAAGGAAATCTGAATTTCCTTTGTTATGGAAATCTGATAACCTCTTTAGGACTTAGGGAGGAGGACACTATCAGGGAGATCACTGAGTAAGACCTGGCTTAGCAGAAGCGGTGCTGGGTTGTGTTCAGAGAAGGGGTGAGAGAGGGTCCCTAGTTGAGTTGTCCTGCTACTGATTTCAAAACTCAGCTATTTTAATACTGTTTTAATGTGAGGAATATGAAAAAGAAGATTGGTCTCCTAAAATTCTTGGGTGAGGGAATGCTAAGAGGGAGGAGCACAGAATGTGGCAGGAAGTGCTGAATGACTCTGAGGTCTGGAGTTTTGAGGAGAAACGAGAAATTTAAAAGTGAAATATGTATAGAGGGACTAAACCCAACAAGATAGAAGCTAATAAACCAAAAGTACAGGAGTATTGCCATCTAGTACAAAGTATGAACAGCAGTGTATGCACCTCTTGTCCCTTACCCTGAAAAAGGATTGATGTGATCTAGAGCAAATGCGAAGAAAAGTTATGAAGAGGATGAGGGAACTTCAGAACTGTCTCATGAGTTGAAACGTTTTTGAGGGGTGGGGGAATTGCCAAGTTTATGGGGAGACAGGATTAGGGTTTATACATTCAAGAGCATACGTGAGGGAGAAGAGCTTTCAAGTGAAAGAACCTTTGAAACGAGACCAATTGGATGGCAACTGGTAAACATGCAATTTTAAAGGTTTTTATTCATAGTAAAGAGCAGTAGGAGTAATACAGGCATTCAGTTGCAACAGGAATTATTATTTATCCTATTTTCTAAGCATGATAACTTTGTAAAAAGTGTATAGTAAGCTTGTGATAACCCAGAGTGAATACAGGCTGATGTGCCTAGAGGTTTCTTCAAAATTTTTGTATCTTTATGGGTATTTGAGTCTCTGGAAGGTAAAGCCGTGTATATAAACATTGACTAGTTCTTTGATAAAAAGAGCATTGACTTTATTTAATACTAGCATGTCTTCATTTCTCATAAAATTGCCTAAATCTGTTGGTATGGTAAAGAGAGCTTTAAGTCAAAACTGTGCTAGGAGCTCATGGTAAGAAAAGGCAAAAGAGCTACAGCATCAGCTCAGGATCACAGAAGTCGCTGTTAGGATTTGAGGGAAAATAGAGCAAGAAGCTTCACTTCTGATGCAAATCTTGGGAACTAAGAGCTCGATGCAAGTATGGGCATAATAGTGTCATTCTGAATTCATGGAAATAGCTTTACAAATGAAGGAGAGGCAAAGTGGGGTCAGTGCAATTCAAACACATGATGACAATTTTCGCCTAAATAGAATGCTCTTTGTGACGAGATGAATTAATTACTGTAAGACAGTGTTCTTGCTTGTCATTCTGATTCTTTCTGCTTGTTAATCACTCCTAAATTGTGGCTTTTGCAGTATTAAGATTTACTGCATATATGATTTTGCTAAGCTGTTTTTGAGTTTAATGTTTGTTTGCCTGTTAATGTCAATATTTTAAAAGCCTTATTTTATATTTCTACCCTTCTTCAGTGCTTCCTTGATCTGCTTTAGTACTTTCTTTCTGCCTATTAAGTATTATTGTTCTACCCAAACACTGTATGACTGTTGTAAAATGTTTTGCTTTTGTAACTCAAGCTCAATTTACATATTAAGTAAATGTCACCACATGCCAAGTCAGAGCTGAGGAGGGGATTAGGTGCGTGAAAAATAAGCTGCAGTGGCCATGAGAAGGGAAAAAGGAACATCAGTAGTAGGGTTTAGCTGACTCTTTATGTTGCACTGATACTGAGCAGCAAATTCAATATCTTATTGCTTCTTACACTGGTAAAACGCTGCAGAAAACTTGGTTTTACTGAAGATACTAACAGAGCAAAGTGTGGTATGAATGGGAATGAGTCTCGCCCTCTGCTAATCATATGGAAGACTTTAAACATGAAACCCGGGAAAAATCTTCTCTGGTACCATGGCTTGTAGTAAAGAGGAAGCCAAACAAAAGATAATAGTGATATATATATATGTATATATCTTTACAAAAATAAAACACTTATTTTTGGCTGTACATTGAAGTCTTATCAAGTTTATCTTTCCTTTTTTTTTTCTTCCCCTCCCCCCCAAAGAACTGCTGATCTTTTGAAAGAATAATTAAATAATTGGGGGAATTAATCTTCTGTTTATCCCAACTATTCTGTATTCTTTCTCTGTAGTTTTTTGTTTATTTAATTACAAGGGACATTTGCATGAAAATAGGATTTTAAGACTTGCACAGCTTCTGATGTTTTTCCCAGATACGTGCAGTAAGCCGCATTTATTGTATTTGTAAACCAAAACAGCCATTGTTATGTAAAATTCATTGAATGCTTTTTTCCTTTTTTGTGTTTTTCTTTTCACACTGAGTTATTAATAAATATTAGAAAATTTGCTGTAAGAAAGTTTCCCCCCTGCCTCTGAAATTATGTACTGTAATTATGTACTGTAATGTGTAACTTTTTTCCTTTCTAATGTGTCTTCTTCAAGGCTTCTAAAGAAGTCATTTTGGTAGCCAACTCATTCTGGGGCTAATGCAAACTAGTTCAAACTAGACTTCTGTAGTTTCATCTTTTTTCTTTCTTTTTTTTTTTCTTTAAGATAAATAGTATTCTGTGTCCCACAGTCTTTTGAGTTAGTCTAAGTTTGCAAAAGCGCTTTGAGATTTTTAGTATTTCATCTTTCCATTTAAAAAGGTCTTTAGAACATCTTTTGTTAAGGAAAGCAAATGAATTTACAGGAAAATGTTTCTGTAAACTGTAAATATTAACTTTTCTGCCCTCTCATCTTTTAGATTTCTAATATTGGGAAGCTGAAAGACTTTCTTCTGCAACACAGGAAAGATTACATTAACGCTTACAGGTAAGTGTATTTTTATTACTGTTGTTATTATTATTTTCAGATATATAAAATCTGGAAAAAAAAATCTGTACGCACAATGACTAAAACAACCTCTAGTTTGCTGGAAGTTATTGCTGGAAGATGAAAAATAATGCTGTCACAAGAAAAAGGTCCTAAATAAAATGAGGATCAGGATGATCTTAATGATTAGTTATCAAGTTAACCTAAGAACTGAAAGTTTAATATTACTACAACTTGTATTTTGAATAGGTCAGTACAAATAATCATATCATTTGACACAGAAATGTGTTTTTTGTGAAATTTTTGTTACATTTCAGTCATTTTGTTACAACTTCAGTCATACTATAGATTGCACAATATTGCATTCCAGAAATGTACAGCACTTCATAAGTATCTCCACTTAACGATCTCAGCTGCTGTAGAAATGGACTTGTGCCATACACATAACCATTATAAATAATTATTTGAAATAAGTAGGTAGCCTTTTCATGTCATCATAGTTGAATATTGTGAGGTCTGCACTAATCTCTTTTTTTTGCTCTCCTTCACCCTTCTCAGCCTAAAGTTATATTTAGGAGAGGAGGGGAAAAAATTGCATTTACACTTGAAAATTTCCATCCTAATGGGTATGCATTAAAGAATGGGGTTACAGCCTTTAATGCAGAAGCTGTTAAATTTTGTACCAAAGAGAGCTTGCAGGTTATAAGGGTACAGCCATTTAATTCAAGGAGAATGGCATCAAGGTGTTCCTTCAGTGACTGTAGATATAGTATGTAGTGTATGTAGATATACTGAATATCACACTGAATGCCTAACAGCACAATAAATACCCTATGTATCCTTCTTTCCAAGATACTGGTTTAGGAGTGACAGACAGAGCCCTCCTACCTGTGCAGTGCATTGCAACCTTGCAATTTAAAGGCTTGCTTACGGTCTTGAAGGTCTTTTCCAACCATAATGATTCCATGACTGAAGTGGCTCCTTGTTACGTTGCCCTTCTCAAAAAATCAATTAAAAAAAGATCTTTTTTTTTCCTTTTTTCCACAGTCCTTTCAGAACAGACCCATGCAGTTCAAGTGAAATAGAGCAGGTTTTTCACTTTGAAGGAATGGCTGTGAGCTCCACAATCTTCTGTGATTCTATGTGTTTTTCCAGTCCATCTGTGTAACTGCAGTATTGCACAAATCCAGACATCCCTGTCAATGTTCTGATTTTACCACAACTCTGAGTAAACTAAGCTGCAGTTGAGGTAGAGAAAATGCAGCTTAAATCCAAATGTTGCAGATGTTGAGTCCCTAATTAGTTTAATGCCTTTCTCTGGAGGGCTTCACAGGTACAAAACAGAAAAATTATCCACACAGAGCTATTTAAATCCTGCATAAGAACATGAAGGGAATAGATTAACTTAGGCACTGTCTGTATTGGAGGAACACTCTTAGAATAAAAGTTTCCAAGTCTAAAGGGTTGTAGTTGTAGCAATACTGTATGATTGATGGTATCAAAATGTGTCCCTAAATAAGTTGCTGGCACCTTTCCTCACATCCACTCTGAAACTTTAAAAATGGCATTTTGATGCTGTAGGAGGGAAACAAACAACAAAAAAGATTTCAGCATATTTTAAGCATATTGTAGGACAGTGAGAAATGTTCCTTATCAGTACCGGGCAAATGAAGCTCAGTGCTCTCTCACTTTCCACGTGTGTGCAGATGTATCTCAGTTCTCTGTGGCAGGTGTATGAGGAACTGCTTTTCCAAGCATCAAGCAAGGCGTCCTCCAGCTGTGTGATGTGAGCAGCTGTCTGGTTTTGAATTCTCATTTGGGATAGCTAACGAACAACACTAGGTGGAGCCACCAATTTAATACTGAAATAACTCTTTATTGTGTGAAAGCTTAATAGGAATGCTTGGATTGAGATGCTGCAAATAATTACAGTAAGGACATACCATGAGTAGCAGTTAATTTTTGAGTTCTCTTTGTGATTTATTAGCAATAACAGGTGTGAAGGTGATTGTTCAGGCTATTTTTGCTTCTAAAAGTAGATAATTTTGTTTTATAAGTTCTCTTTCAACCAGTTATTATGGTAATTCTCAGTGATTTTTCTTATTTTCCTTAGGCATTAGCTAAAGAGGAGAAAAGAAAGAGGAAAGCTTTTCATTCTTAAACCATAAAAAGCCCTCCAAATCTCATCTCTGATTCCAATTGATCCTGTCCTTAAAGGTCAAACTTAAAATAGACAGGATTGTCAAACTCTATTGTAGATTACTTAGGCAATTCTACTTGGTGGATAAAAGAGCCATAGCCTCCAGCCTGTCTCCTAGTTTTAACAAATACTTTAGTCATTCTAAAGAGCAATTTTAATAACTTTTCACAACCTAAACTATGGGAAGATATTTAAAACAATTTATTGCTAATGGGATAACCTGGAAATTTTGTAGGTAGTTTAATTTTGCAAATGACATTGGACTATTCCTTATTTTGCCAATTCTGCTATTTGTTTTTCAACTGCAGAAAAATGTGTTAGTGAAATTTGTCTTTCAAGTCACTTATTTGAATTATTGAACTTTATAAAACTTCAGCATAATCTAGGTATTTGATTTCTTCTTGGATTTTACTTTTCCAGACTCTGAATTATTTACTAATAATGTCTTTTAGTTCTGCATCTTAAGATAGTGTTGCAGTATCTAAACTTGCTAAAATAATCTTATGCCTTTATCCTTTCCCCTTCTGTTTATCCAGACTTATTTGCTGTGTATTGCAGTTAAATTTTTTGGCCTCCTGTGTCCTGCTCTTTTTTTCTTCTTTCTGTTGTGGTTCTGATCTGTGGCTAGAGCTACTAAGAGCTTTAGTCACACAAATGATGAATCCACCTTCACTGACAATACAAGCTATGATGGAAGGCCTGCTCTGGAGATTGGCCTGCTAGAAGGCTCTGATTTACAGAACAGGACATGATCCTCCTTCAGATGTACAATTATTTCCTAAAATCTTGCTTTAAAACTGTGGGTTGTCTTATTTTCTAAAGTTGTAGCAATAATAGTGGCAACTTGGAGTTTTCATGCAACAAGCATTTTAAAGAAAAGTCACATATAATGAAAGCACTAAGTAGCAAAGGATATGAATGATCCATATTATTATCAGTTGTATTTACTAAGGAAAGGGCCCATAATGTTAAATACAACATTATATTTAACATTAGAGACTTGTCTTAAAAAGAAAACTAAAGATTTTTTAAAAGAAGATCATAATTTATAGGAGATATTTGCAAATATTTTCTTTTTGACTCAGTTAATCATCTTAATACTTACACATTTCAAAGCTAAGTTAAAATTTCTCACTGTCTTTTGGGTATCATTCGTAATCAATGAATACATTCATTAAGATGGATATTTTTATAAGAAATTGCCTTTGAGCACTGATTCCTGCATGGTTTTGACCTCTGAACTTCCAAGACAGTTCTGTGTTTGTTGGTGCTCTCTACCTTTCTGGGTAGATCAATGAGGTACATCAGTCACAACCTGTAAATTTGGAATGGTCCCCTTGGATTCCTCCGTGGCTTCTTGAAAGGATCTTCCAAGGTCTTTAGAGACCTCTAGTTATTCCTAATGCTTTAATCAGACATTTGCATTTACTTGAGAGACTTCTAGATTTTTTGACCACCTAGTATTAGAAGGAGGAACCTTTAACTTGGGAGAAGAACTTGCTGTCTGAGATTGTTAAGGCATCAGAATTGTTGTCTTCTGCAGTTTGTTTTTATGCGTGGGTTCACCGTGGACATTTTTTGTTGTCAAGGGCAGCTAGAAGGGACATACTCGTCATCAAGTTTGCCTTCAATATTATCCCAGCAGGCCTTGAACCTTTGGACTTGGATCACACAGGATGATTTTTCTCTCGCGTGCTCATTTGCTCAGTCACGTAATAGCAGCAAGTTATTACAGCGCCATCCAACACTTGCTGTTTCAGATGGAAAGCTCAATAACGAGTTTTATTGACCTAACGGGAGGTGCATGTTTTGGTTTCCTTCCATCCTTGCCTTCCTAAGGAGATTGGGGCTTCAGGTATCCTTGACTTCAGGATCCAACGAGGAGGAGGCAGGGCAGTAAGTAG